GTTGTCGTTTGAAGCCGGTTTCCAGTTCGACAACGTGATTCCAGAGTGGTTCCGAACCAGAGCCTCCAAGATCTCGGCTGACCAAGTTCGCCTGGATTCTGAAGTCATTCAATGTATTCTGGCAATGGAATTCATTGAATGGAATAAGCTCACGGAGGGAATCCACTACGAGGTCAGAGTAGTCTCGGGAACGGTGGTCGTCGGAGATCCTGAGGACGTGTTCATGACGGATACGGAAGCCAGCCTTCTCGGTGAGAGCTTCCTCAATCACCATCGATCCAGAGTCCGGACAGCCAGAAACTTTCAGGGATCATCAGATGGGGAACCACAGTTGAAGCGGCAGCAGAACGCACCGCCAAGACCACCGTCAAGCATCCAAACATCGCTGTCGAGTGGTTTCACACTGCCAACTCCATCTGAATCAGGTCCCAGCTTAGCTCAAGCGGTTCAAGGGCTCAGATCGAGAATGCTGAATCCAGTGGTATGTCGGACTCTGTGCCAAGTATTGTAGGACCGTCAGGTTCCTCTCAAGGATACTCAGTCCACGCCTCGTCTGGAATGTCCACACCTTGTCCGGGATCGGTACGTCCCATGCGAGCTCCGCATCTTCAATGATGTCAATCCCAGAAGGAAGAGCAACGCATCCTGGGCAAGCGGTTGTCATGCATATCCAATCGACTGGAGTGCAGAATGCTGAAGGCAGCGGAGGCGGAACCCTGAGTCGAACGTTAATTCTCGCTCAGCGACCTGAAATCCGTCAAGAGGATGTCATCATGGACGGGTCGAGTGACCATTCCGATTCAGAAGCAACCCATCGCTCGAACTTAGAGCCCAGGCATCATCGACGACATCAGCGTCATGGGAGCCAAGGACACGGGCGCGAAATGAGTGTGTCTGAGTATACATCGTCCAAGGCGGCAGTCGGACACGCTCTTCGAAGCGTAGCCAGAGATCAAGTCCCTCAGAGCGATCAAGTCACGTTGGTACCTCTCACCGGTCTGGGGCGTCCTCTGCGTCCTCAGGCGCAACTCAAGTAGCCATCAACAGGATGCTACAACAGCAGGCAGGAATGGCCGAGTTGCGTAATCAACAGGAAGCTTTCCATGAGAGACAACAGCGTTTGCTGATGGAATCGGCCATGCCAGTGCAGATGCAGTGGCAGCAACAGCAAGATCAGCTTCAGAAGCAGTAATTGCGGAATGAACAGCAGATCGAGCTACGCCTAGAGCGGCAACAGCATGGCCTCTCGGAGAATATGCAAGCGCTAGCCGACAGGCTTGCTCAGCTGGAAAGCTTGAAGCCTCAGACTCCTGAGTACGAACGAGGAGCGAAGCCTGGCTCACAGTTCTTGATGCCTGAACACTCTCAAGCTCAGAGATCTCCGAGTCCGAAGACCCTGATTTCGAAAGTCCACTTTGAGGAATCACTCGAGCACGAGAAACGGCGCATGAAACGTGAGTTCGATGATAAGCTGGCTCAACAGGCCCAGAGCGCTGATGTGGGACAGAAGAATTGGCTAACAAACGCCCAAAATGTTCTGGAGGAGCGCGAGCGAATGCTCAACTCTCAATGGTCTAACTTCGAACAGCAACTCAAGAAGCGCGAAGAAGAATGGAAGCTTGAGAGGGAAGCGATGGCGACCGGCATGCAAAACCAGATGTTAACGGTACTTCAAGCCGCCCTGTTCCAGATTGCCCCTCATCCAGCAACTGGTATACAGTCCCTGAGTCCCCCTGATTCAGCAACTCTGAATCCAGTGCGAGTTGTCGCAGCCAAGAATAGCCAGACGCCCATCGTAGGTGCATCACCGACAGTGCAATCCGTCCAACAGAGTGTTGCGGTAGACCAAAAGCGAGAGATCAAGCACGAGACACCTCCAGTCAAGAGCGCTACTCGCCAAGAGTCATCAAATGCTTCGGAGACTTAGCCTCCCGTGAGGCGAACGGAGCTACAAGTTGCGAGGTAGACTACCACACGGAAGGAAGAGTCTACATCATCGTCGTCGAAGAGGTCAAAGCCGAAGAAGGCGAAGGAGAAGCCTGACCCTCGTCCTGACGACCCGGATGACTCGGAGCCCAGTGATAGCGACAATGATGCGAGTCAAGGAGGAAGTTCTAGGTCTAGCGATGCTGAAAGCTTCTCAAATGAGGATGAAGACATCGGGATGACCACGGCGACCACTACAGTTGATAGAACAACGATCTGGAATTGTAGGCTCTACATTGGCTACACTAACTTGGAAACGTTCGATAAAGAGGCGTCCAGGGATAATCGAGTCAATTGGTGGGAACGATTTCGGACATGACATCTCAGGGATCCTGGTCAGACACGATGAAGATTCGTCAGTTCAGGAGCCGGATGCCCACAGCAATCAGGGACTGGTTCACGTAGCTACCTAAATCTACACGTCACGATTGGAAACAAATGGCGCGCAGATTCAGGAAGCTGTATATCGGTACCACGGGCTCGTACTCGGAAAGGTACTTCACGATGAAGATGACCGACCATGAGACGTCGTTGCAGTTCTTCTATCGTCTGAATGCGGCTGCGGTTAAGGCTGAAGTTAAGTTCAAGTGGAGCCCTAAGTTACGTGAGTCTCACATTCGAAGCTTCATCAAGAAACTCCGAAATGATCAGCTGAAGACAGCCCTCAAAGGACACAGGTTTCAGAGCATCACGGACTTGGAACGAGTATTACGTCGTCATGAAGATGTGTGGCGTGAAGAAGGGTATGACTCTCCAGCTCCCAAGAAGCCCAGAGATTTCCGCGCCGACAACGTTCACCAAGGCTGGTCTCAGAATCGTGGACCGCCTAGACGTCAGGGAGGACACAAGGCGATACCAGACCCACGCAGGACTCAGAGTTTCAACATGAGTCTCAGAACCCTGAAGCGTTTGCAGAACAAGCAGAGGCGCACTCGAAGCGAATCTCAGAGTTTCTCAATAGTGGAATCGATGGAGAAGTATTTAGAGTTACAGAGAACCAACACTGGAAGTCACCCAACCCGCATCCGGGTCCAGGTCTAGCACGACCAGAAAATTGGGATGTCTTCTGTGAAAACTGTAAGAAGTGGGGACACTCTGAAGTCAACTGTTGGACTGGAATGATATGTGAACGATGACAAGCTAAAGGACACCCAGCCGGAGTCTCTAGCAGAATCCCTTGTGCAGAATATGGAGGGTTTCACGGTGGAATATCGTGTGAACAGTGGAAGGCTTTCCTATCAGTAATGGCAATGGCGAAGCAAGGAAATGCGATTGAATTACCAACCCAATTTCGCAGTCTCCTTCAGACCAAGGTTCACGCTTCAGGGGCGCAGCAGTTAAACCACTAAGCCCGCCGGGTGGGGATCCGTTACACGACTGGTCTAAGAAACCCCCTGAAATGTGTGTGTTAGTCTGTATAGGACCAGAATGAAGGACACAAGTATAAGTAACGAACAATGCATGAGTTTAGTTCAAGATGATTTCATCTACCCTGAACAATTGTACTCAGAGTACCAGCGTTCAGATGACCCGATCCCAGAGATCTCTGATCCTAAATCTCAGGATCCCTTGGAAGTGCCGTTGAAACCGGGTCAGAGGTACGGATGGCGGGAAGATCACGAACAGGGAGACATGCATGGATTGGCGACGATACATGGGGCTGTGAACGACTCCAGAACCAGAACTTTATTGGACACTGGTGCGTCCGTGAGCATTATGAGTCTTGATCTAGCGCGTAGACTCAAACTCAAGCTCCGGACACACCGTCAAATCAAAGTTTCTGGTTTGGGAGGAGTGACCACTTACATTACTACTCATGCCCGGGTGAAGATAACTCTCGGGTGGAGTGTGGTGTACGTCCTGAACATCTGGGTTGGAAATATTGGAGAAGGTGTTGATGTCCTGCTAGGCATGAACTTTATGCATTCGGCAGGTGTCCGACTCTGCATACGAGAAGGCTTAGTTAAGCTGCCAGACGAAGAGACTGTGGTAATATATGATGATAATCCCAAGTCCCGTGCTATGGATCTTCCTGTTTGCCCAGAGGAGAGTATACACCTGCGTCCAGGTCAGGACGTTATTGTACGAATCCGGTATGACCAGTCCAAACCTCAACGCGAGCTAGTGTGGGCTGGGAGAGGCAAAAACTGGGTGACCAAAGTTCTGTATTCTGCCGGATCCTTGGCGACTGCCGTCAAGGTGGTTAATGTTTCAGACCAGGATGTGTGGATTCATACCAGGACCGCTGTTGCGCATATTGTGGAGTACGGACAGTTCCCAGGACAGCCTGGATTCGTTCGTCCTGGTAAAGTGCGATATGAAGAATGGCAACAATTAATCCATGAGTGTACCGTGTCACGCCAGGCAAGGATGCGAGCTGAACAATTAGTGCAGATTCTCAGTTGGAGGGAGCCTTCGTGCACCCAGACCCAGAGATATCAGTGGCCTACTAAGCTCTTAATGCGTCCACAGTCCCAATCCGCTGAGGTGAGGATGGTGAAGTTGCAAGAAAGCCGAAACCGCTGGATATGACACTCAAGATCACTGAAAATTCAGCAGTTGTCATGAACACAGCGGCGAGAAACCCCGAGGAACCTGAGAGCCGTCCTGAACCGGCAGAAGAGACCCATTCTGACCCGGGTCCAGAAGTTAAGATCCTGGATCCAGAGAATGTCGCTGATGCCGAGCATAATGTTCAGGCGGAAGAACCGTCAGCGGATGTCTGGTCGCAGACGAACTATTCGACACAGGTCCAAAGGCAGGAAGCAGAATATGCTCGGGTGATGCGAGTCTCTGCTGAAGAACTGGATCTGGAACCTGTTGTATATCTCAGAGAAGGAAGTAATTTGATGGCGCAGTTACGAGACCAACTTATCATGCTCCCGGCAATTGGAGAACTGACCCCAGAATGTAACTTCGACGAAGCTAATGTCGGGGTTCCAGGGGTCACAACTCAGAGATGGAAGCCAAGATGAGAGGGATCCTGAAACGCCATCGCAGCATCTTCCTGGGAGATGGCAACGCAGCTCCGGCCCCGGCTAGGGCGTAGTGTGCGATATCGACGTTGGTAAGCAAAACCAGTAGATTTGGGTGCGATACAGATCGCAGCACCTTTCTTGGTGAAGGTGTTTGATCTCTTGAAGGAATTGTTGGAGCCGGAGCTCATTGAGCATTCAGAGTCCGAGTGGACATCACCTATTGTGATTGTGCTGAAGAAAAACGGCGTAGACATCAGGATTTGTATTGACTACCGACTTCTGAATTTGTTCATCAAACTATCCCGCTATCCTCTACCTTTGATCGATAACCTGCTGTTAGCCTTTAAATCCGCGATGTGGGTCATGAGTCTCGACATGGCGAGTGGATTCTGGGCGGTGGGAATGGCTGAACGTGCGAAGTTGATCTCTGCGTTCGTCTGCCCGTCCGGTCACTTTCAATGGCCCAGAAATCCTTTTGGATTAAAGAATGCACCGTTAATTTATCAGAGCATCATCAACAAGTGTCTGTGGGGATTCGCCCGGTTACCTCCTGAACAGGAAGCGATGGTTGACCCAGAAGTTCTAGAGTTCCTGGATCTCGAGCCTCAAGAAACTCTGATACCCGAAGTGGATATGAGGGATTCAGAGATTCCATCGTTGGACATGACTGTATTCCGACGCAATATCCTGGCTCCATCACAAATGGGTCCGGTCTTAGGAAGAAGCTCGTATATTGACGATATCGCTCATGAGGCGTCGACCTGGGACAAACTATGTGAGGATCTGGACGCGTTGTTATACAGACTGCGATACTGGAATATCTCTGTAAGCTTACCAAAAAGTGAATTCGGAACGTTGGCCATCCCATTCCTTTCTCATGAAGTGAGTGCGGACAGAATCAGAGCATTACCGAAGATTGTCAAAGACATAGAGGACTTACCTTTCCCATCAACGTACAAGGGGGTACAGTCCTTCTTAGGAAGTCTGAATTACTACAATAAGTTTATTGAAGACTTACCCGTAGTTGCCGCTGTGCTCTATCAACTGGACGAAGAACGTGTACGTGCTGGACGGAACCTGGAAGCAGCGAAAGGGTCCTTCGAGATACTGAAACGTAAACCCGTGTCGATCCCACTGCTGCGGCATCCAGACAGAGCCAAGTCTCTCGTGATTATTCCGCAGGCTAACCCGTGGGCGGCGTGTGCAGTTTTGGGTCAGGAGCATGAAGGACGCATACACCCAGTACGATTTACTGGCAGAGTGTTGAAGGAAGCAGAGCTACGTTACCACATAGCTGAGAAGGAAGTGCTCGCAATCTTGCGGACTCTGGAAGTTTTCAGACCCCTGATCCATGGATCAGAA